GGCCTGGAGAAGGGGAGAAGCCTCATGTTGCGTAGAGATTAGAACTTGAATTCGCTCTCAGGATGGGACCTAAGCCTGGGAGGATCCCTGCCTTCAGGAGGTGATGGTGCCATTCACTGGGATAGGGAAACTGGCAGGGGGAGCCGGTTGTTGGGTTGGGGGGGTGTGCGGAGAGTCTGTGGGACCCATTGGTCTTGAGGTGTGTGGGGGACAACTGGAGAGAACTATTGTCCCCTGCTTCCACCAGGTGACATCTCCCTCCTGCCTTCGGCTCTATTTTAGGGATCAAGTAGTCCTTGGAGCTGCTCCCAGGCAATTCTCTTAAGGGCCAGAAGAGCTCTGCATGCCTGTCCAGTGGCTGAGCCTCTCTGCAGAGTTAAGGCTGTGGGTCACACCAGCCACACCTTCAGCGTGGCCCATATCACAGAAACATGTGGAAACCAGGTGATTTCCCAGCCTCCTGGTTAGGAGGTGGGGTTTTCCATCGCCAAGGAGTCACTTCCCAGTTTCTCACTCAGCACCTAGAAGCACCATCCTTGCAGGCTCCGCTGTGGGGCTGGTGGCCCAGAGCAAGGGTCTCTGTATCTTCAGGCGGCCTGCAGTGAGGAAACTGGGAAGAGAATCACCTCCTGCCACCCAGTCCACCCCCAACCCTTAGAAATGCCCTATGTGCTGGGGGCTAGGATCCCCGTAATCCAGGGCTGGAGGAATGTGCTCTGGCCCTGCAGGGCTGGACTTGTATTAGGGCTGGCACTCAAAGTGGGGATCGGGGGACAGATCACAGCTGGAATGGGTGCTCAGTCATGATGTAAATCCTGGGGAAGCCAGCTCTCCTGGGCCTGGCCTCAGCAGCCCCTCAGGGCCCCACAGCTTCCCAGGTGACTTTCTCTCCCAGCCTCTGTTCATCTGCCCACTGCCTGGGCAGCAGACTTGAACAGGGAAGTGCAGAGTCTTCTCACTGTGAGAAGGGCTGGATGCATGTTTACGGATAAATGAACACATGAAGAGTAGTAACAACAGCCAAGATTTATAAATGCCTATTGTTATATATGTAGATACTTAAGTATATATAAAGTACAGACTGCATTATGTATATTACATATCTTTAAATTTTTAGAATAGTCCCATGAGGTGAGTGCAGAGATCCAGATCCAGGTGATCTGGCTCTAGAGTCTAAACAAGCCAGGTGCAGTGGCTTACACCTATAATCCCAGCACCTTGGGAGGCCACAGGTGGGAAGATCACTTGAGGGTGGGAAGAGCACTTGAGCTCAGGAGTTCGAGACCAGCCTGGGCAACATGGCGAAACTCCGTCTGTACAAAAAAATCAGCTCAGCATGGTGGCCCGAGCCTGTAGTCCCAGCTACTCTGGAGGCTGAGGTGGGAGGATCGCTTGAGACCAGGAGTTGGAGGCTGCAGTGAGCTATGGGTGACAGAGTGAGACCTTGTCTCTAAAAAAACTAAAAAATAAGAATTAAATATACTTAAAATAGAGTCTAAATGAGCGAATGATCTAGAATTCTCTTGGTTCCCCTAAAGCAGGTGTCAGCTTTGGGGGATGTTGTTCCAAATTAGTGCCTCACCCTCACGGGACAGGGAAACCTGTGGGAGCTGGGAGGGCAGGTGGAGGCCGGGCAGGTGGAGATGGTGACTCGAAGAGGAGGGGACGATAGGAGGAGGTTGAAGGGTCACCGAGTGCTGGGAGTGACGCTGGAGGTATTGGCCCGGCGATGCTGGGGTGGTCGGGTCGGAGGCCCAGCAGAGGCTGGGGAGGGGCGTGGGGGAGGCGTGTCCAAGGCCGGCTGGCCCCGCCCTGCCCCGCCCCGCCGCTTGACCTCTGGCCCGCTGCAGCGCGGGCTTTCGCTTTCAGTCGCCGCCGGCTGGCGAGCACAGCGGAGCCTGGGGAGAAGGCGCTGCGCTGCGAGGGCGCGAGGGCGCGAGGGCAGGGGGCAACCGGATCCCGCCCGCACCCATGGCGCCCGCCGCTGTCTGGGCCGCGCTGGCCGTTGGACTGGAGCTCTGGGCCGCGGGGCACGCTTTGCCCGCCCAGGTGGGTGACTCGCGCGGCCCACGGGGGACAGCCGCCCCGCATGCCCACCCGGCTGGTGCGCAGCCTTCGGGTGCCCGGGCCGCGCTCTCCTGGGGCGCTGTCACGGGCTGGGAGGCTGGAAGTCCGAGTCGCCGCCCCCCATCCGCGTCAGACACGCGCCGCACACCTCTAGGGACCCGCCGGGGACCCCGGGCCCGTACACGTGCGCTCGGGGCGCAACTCCGGCCCCCGAAACCCCTCTTACCCGCGTCGTGACAGGAGCGCACCCTGGTTCCTCCGCGAGCGCAGGCCAGGGCGTTTGGGGCTGAGCAGCGAGCCCTGGGCAGACCCCCGCTAGACCCGGGACCCCTTTTCCCTCACCCCGGTGACTGCCGCGACAGCCCTTCCCTCCCACGCGGTGGAGAAGGGGCTGTGCTGGGGCGCTGCCCCACTGCCCACGCCGGGCACCCTCTTCAGAAGACTTCCTCTTCCTCTGGGCGACGGTTTTCCGATTTCTTAGAAATACCAGGGTCCTGTGTCTGAAGAGCAGGGCCAGGTGTGTGTCAGGCCCACTGAGGGCACAACTGGAGGGCGAGCTGCCTGTCTGCTTCCTCCCGAGGCGTCTGGGGGCTACTGCAGAGTCTGCTTTCTGTGGCCTCTGGGGGCAGGGGAAGCGCGGGAGGTCGGGGTTGGTAATCGAGCAAGGCAAATGAAGTCTCCAGGGGCCGCAGGAAAATGGAAACGGCAGAAACCCTAGGGCTCCTATGAACATCACTCCCACAATAGCAACGGGCGTACAAGGGGCTGTGTACCCTTTGCCTTTTTTTGACTGTCTCCTGGTTTGGTAACATAGGATTATCCCATTTTTTTGACTGTCTCCGTGGTTTGGTAAGATAAGATAACCCTTTTTTTTTTTTTTTTTTTTTGAGACGGAGTCTCGCTCTGTCGCCCAGACTGGAGTGCAGTGGCACGATCTCGGCTCACTGCAAGCTCCGCCTCCCGGAGGATAACCCATTTTTTACAGAAGAAAACTGAGGCTCAGAGAACCTGTATTTCATGGAAGGGCCTGGGGGAACTCTTCCTCCAAAGGGGGTCTCTCCTGCCCTTGGCCCCTGTGCCCTGAGACTGCAGGGAAGGTGGGCGTTCATCCTTCCTCAGAGCCGCCCCTGATGGACACGTGGCCCATCTGCCACCATCTGACATCTTGACCGAGGAGGAAGGTGGGAGGTGGCACTGGCTTCTGTGGTGACATAAGGTGACTCGTTGATCTGAGGCCAAAGAGTCCAGTTCTTGTGGGTGGAGATGGGGGCTGCCAGACTAGAACTGACTCACCCACAGTGGGTGTCAGGAGTGGGTCCTGGAGAACTGCCCCAGAGTAAGTCCTGGGTGGCCTTTGGGTCCGGAGAGTCCCCACTCTAGGGCCGAGTGTGAATGGGGATGACTGTGGTCCCCAGCTTGACTTTGGGATCATGCCATAGACTCTGGCCTCAGAGGGGGTCTTCCTGCCACTGAGCTTGGGCCTGCCTGGGTGAACTCTGGGGTCATGCAAGCCCCTGGATGGGAGAGGGGTGGCAGGCACAGGGCTCTTCAGGACACCAGGCTGCAGTCCTGGAGTAGCCGGAGCGGGTTCCCTCCCACTTCCTTCCCCTCCTGACCAGCTCCTGTAGCAGCTCAGATTCCCTCCTCCCTCATCCCTGCTCCCCACCACCCCACCCGGACTATTGCCACAGCCTTGTAGCTGGTCTCCAGGCCCTGCCCCCTCTCCCGCTGATCCGTGGCAGAGAGACCCTTCTCAAGCGTGAGGCACCTCTCCGTTTGCCTGGGGAGCCTCCTGTGGCTCCCAATGGTCGGGGCAGAAACTCCCCTGGAGATCCCAGGCCAGAGTAAGGTACCTGAGCTCTTCTTCCACCCCCAGCCTCTGTAGAACTGACGATGGTCATCGTGTGTGTCATTGTGCCAAAAGCAGTGTCTGTGCCGTCCGCTCTCCAAGGGACACTCCTTACCCCTATCCTTCAAGGCCTTCTGCAAATGCCATTCTCTCCGGGAAAGCCTTTCCTCCTTCTCAGTTGGATTTGATCTTCTCTTCGAACTCCCAGGCCCTTCTGTTCCGTTTGAGGACAGATTGCATTCTGCTTTTTAATCTAGCGTTTTACCCCCTAAGTGGATGGAAGGTGTCTTGAGGGCTGGAACTGTGGGTTCCTCCTCCTTTGCATTAGTAGCATCACCATAGCTCCTGATTTCTGAACACGCACGAAGCACCAGGCACTGGGCTAGGTATTTTGTCACGAAATTTCACTGAAACCTCCCTTACAGCAACTCCCAAGAGGTGGGTGGTGCTGTTTGTTTTTAGAGATGTGGAAACTGAGGCGTTTCCCAGGATCACAGAGCTGGGGGCTGGGGAGCTGGGGGTAGGATTTGAATGCAGGTCTGCCTGATTCCAAAGCTCCTTTCACAGCACCCTCCCAGTGCCCGTATCTGCACCCCTGCTCCCAGCCAGGCCCTCACACACAGTGGGTTCTCAGGATGGAAGTCAACTGAGCTGCAGAAGGAGCTCCAGGAGACCTGAGCTAGCCGTGGATGCAGCTGACTCACTGCCGCAGGGCTTTTGCCCCGTTTAAAAGTCTTTTTTTTTTTTTTTTTTTTTTGTTTGTTTGAGACGGAGTCTTGCTCTGTCGCCCATGCTGGAGTGCAGTGGCCGGATCTCAGCTCACTGCAAGCTCCGCCTCCTGGGTTTACGCCATTCTCCTGCCTCAGCCTCCCAAGTAGCTGGGACTACAGGCGCCCGCCACCTCGCCCGGCCAGTTTTTTGTATTTTTAGTAGAGACGGGGTTTCACCGTGTTAGCCAGGATGGTCTCGATCTCCTGACCTCGTGATCCGCCCGTCTCGGCCTCCCAAAGTGCTGGGATTACAGGCTTGAGCCACCGCGCCCGGCCTTAAAAGTCTTATCTGCCAGCTGGTATGGAAAAGATCATTCATTCACTTAGTCATTTATTCATTTGACAAAGAGATCGCAGTAAAGCTGGCAGTAGGTGAGTGCTTGGTGCCTCTGATGGGGATGAGCAGGGCCTGGGCTGTCTGGGGAGAAGGATAAGGGGTCTCTGCCTGATGGGCCTGGCCCACCTCCCCCCTGGAAGTCTTGGTGCTGAGGTGCTGCTGTTTGCCTCCTCATCACCCAGGGCCTGGGGCCAGTTCAGGTTAGGGGAGAGGTTGGGAGCTCCCAGGCTGGACATCGGAGAGGAGTTGGGTGATCTGGGGTACCTGCTGGCCCTGGGGGCTCTTCCCTCCTTCCACCACGCCTCTGTCTCTTTGTCCTCTGTCTGAAATCCCAGTGGGGAGCCTGTGTGTTGACTGAGGGTATAGTCTGTCGGTCAGGCACCTCTTTAGAGGGCAATGGGTAGGTGGTCAGGCACCCTGAGGTGGGGCCATTTATTTATTCATTCCTCAAAAATTCATGGACACACCTACTCCAAGCCCAGCCCAGTGCCTGGCTCTGGGGACCTCAAGATCCAGCTCCAACCCTCTAGGAGCTGCACTACCAACAGGTCACAGACCTCACAGGCCTGGGCTCTGTCCCAACTGCCCTTATGACCTTGGCTGAGCTAGTAAGCCTATGTTCTCATCTGTGGATGTGGAAAGTGTTCCCTGCCTGGCCCTTGTCACAGAGCCATGGGTGTGAAAGGCTGAGAGCCTGCCAGTCATTCTTATGTCAGAGGTGACCCTGTCATCCTGGCGCCTGGCACAGTGGCTCCCCGTAGCACTGTCCCTCCCCAGGGCTGGGTGATGCTTTATGGCCCTTACTATGCAATGTTGCCTGGAGGAGTAGCCGGGACAGTTGTGCATGGGAAGGGGAAGAGTTTTGCCAGAGCCATGGCGTGTATGTTACACCCGACTCTACACCAACCTGCTTTTTTTTGAGATGGAGTCTTGCTCTGTTGCTCAGGCTGGATTGCAGTGGCGACATCTCAGCTCACTGCAGCTTCCATCTGCTTCTTGAGTTCAAGTGATTCTCCTGCCTCAGCCTCCAGAGTAGCTGGAACTACAGGAGTGCATCACCATGCCCAACTAATTTATTTGTATTTTTTGTATTTTTAGTAGAGTCGAGGTGTCACCATGTTGCCCAGGATGGTCTTGAACCCCTGACCTCAAGTGATCCTCCCACCTCAGCCTCCCGAAGTGCTGGGATTACAAGCACGAGCCACTGTGCCTGGCCCATTCTCACTTCTTCTTCTTCTTTTTATTTATTTATTTTATTGAGACAGAGTCTTACTCTGTCGCCCAGACTGGAGTGCAGTGGCACAGTCTCTGCTCACTGCAACCTCCACCTCCTGGGTTCAAGCAATTTTCCCACCTCACCCATGTTCACACCATGGCTCTGTGACAAGGGCCAGCCAGGGAACACCACATCCACAGATGAGAACATAGGCTTACTAGCTCAGCCAAGGTCATAAGGGCATCCCAGCCTCCCAAGTAGCTGGGATTATAGGTGTGTGCAACCACACCTGGCTAATTTTTTTTTTTTTTTTAAAGTAGAGACAGGGTTTTGTCATGTTGGCCAGGCTGGTCTCGAACTCCTGAACTTAAGTGATCCACCTGCCTTGGCCTCCCAAAGTGCTGGGATTACAGGCGTGAGCCACCGTGCCTGGCCCCATTCTCGCTTTTGAGCCATGCTTTTCTGTCCTCAGATGTGCTGCACACACACCTGCCCCAGGGCCTTTGCACTCGCTTCCCCACCTCACCTCCAATACTCCTCCTGCTGATGTCCCTTGGTCTCCTTCCCTCACTTCCTTCTGCTGAAGTAGACAATCCTGCCTGTAAATGCTCCCTGCCAGGTGCTCTCTCTCCCCGACCTGCTTTGTGTTCCTGTATAATGCTCTTGACCTATTCTATTTCTTTCACTTTTATTATGTCCTCCCACAAGATTGTAAGTACCGTGAGGGCAGGGACTCATTCACCACTGTAGACTCTAGCCTAGAATAGGGTTTTTCAATCTCAGCGTCCTCGACATTTAATTCTTTGTTGCGGGGCTGTCCTGTGAGCTGTAGGATATTTAGCAGCATCCCTGGCCTCTACTTACCGGATGGCAGTAGCGCCACCCTCCATTGTGACAAAAATGTCTCCAGATATTGCTAAGTGTCCTTTGGGGTTGGGGGATTGCCCCTGATTGAGAACCACTGGCCTAGGACAGTGTCTGGCACATAGTAAGTGTTCAAAAAACATTCATCTGACTTTGACCTTGATAATGGCCCTGTTTTACAGATGAGGAGACAGGGGGTTTGAAAAGTCAGTGGTGGCAGGGTGGGGTTCTGTTTGCCTCCATCTCTTAGGATATTTTTCTGGGCTCCCCATCCCATTGAATGGGGTCTGCTGAGGTTAGGGGTCCTCTCCCCAAATTGCTCACCCCCTCGACATCCCTAGTGTAGTGAGGGATGGGGCCACTTACCGACGGTGACTCAGGACCCCAGAATGCGTGTGATTTACCCAGAAGTGGGCAAGGAGGGAAGCTGAGGTTTGAGGTGCCATGGGGTGAACAGGAACAAAGGAGAGGTGCTGTGGCTCCCAGTTCTGGACCCTCGTCTGGGCACAGGGAAGCAGCACTGATGACTCTGGGAAAAAGCCCAGGCCTCTGAATCAGATAAACCTCAAGTCATTGCTCTGCTGTTTTACTGGCTGTGTGACCTTGACAAGTCTTTCTATCCCTCGGAGCCTCTGTGTTCTTATCTGTAAAATGGGAGTAATCCTAGCCTCACGGACTGACTGTCAGGATTAAAAGTGCTTTCTAATCCTGGCATTGGCAGCTATTTGAGCCATTGGTGGCTTTGCAGGTCTGACCTGACTCTCTGGGCCGTGGGGTGGTGCTTAGGCCTAGGCGGGGACCCCTGTGGAGTCAGACGCTCTGCTCTCAGCCCCAGGGCCCGGAAGCTTGGTTGGCAGCCCTGCAGTTGCCCAGAGTTCCTGTCTAAGTGGCTTTGCTGCCCATCACCTCAGAGAGCAACTTCTTTCCTCCCTGCCTTTTCCTGTCTGTGCTTCTGCCCCAGTGCCCCCTGACGGGGCCTCTCATACCCACTGCTTGGCAGCCTGGTCTTAGGACACCGTATTGTGGCAAAGGCGGCGGGGTCAGGATCTCCCCTCCCCTCCCTTCACCACCCCTTTTAGTGAGTAACGGGGGCTGTGTGTTTTGGGGGTGAGTGAGGGGTACCTTTGGTGAAGCACAGAGAGAGTGCACAAGGCTTCAGCTTGCAAGATGGGCACGGGAAGATTCCAGGCGCTCTCCCAAACCTCCTTCATCTCCAGCCTCTGTGCTGCTGAAAGTTCTGGTTACTTGTGACCCTGAGAAGGGGATGCCCTGTGGGGGCTCTTCTGAGGTCATGCTGTCCATTTTCCGCCTCCAAGTGACTTCTAAGGCAGCATGGCTCCGAGGAAGGAGCACTGACCCGGGTGTTGGGAGATCACAGTTCCCATCTGAGCACTGTCACTGGCTCGCTGTGCTACCTTGCTTGGGTTACTTAACCTCTCTGGGGCTAAGCATCCCTACCTGTGAAACCTAACAGCCCTGGTTCCAATGCTTTCGTAGAATATTGGGGAAGTGTCAGCTTTGAGTATACTTGACAAAGGCCACAGGTTGGGGGTGGGGTATCTAAAAGTCCCCAGGAGGGAGAGCCCAGGACTCCCCACTGTCAATATCTTGGTTCCCCAGATTCTCTTCTGCTTGCTGACCTCAATCTCACTTGCTTTGGGTGGAATGATTTCCTGACTCAGGCCCCAGGGCCATCGAGAATTCACGGCTGCCTGTCAGCCTTCATGAAGGACGTGGTGGAGCTCCTTAGGCAGAGCTGGGGTTTGCCTCTCTGCCCCTTGGTACCTAGGTGGCACCTTTTCAAGTTCAAGAGCTAGATCCTTTCCCCTTCCCCACACTATGGGAAAGTCCTCGCTGGAGGCAGGCACTGCAGAGCCTGCTGTCTGGGAACACGCAGGTTCAAGGAAGCCTTGAGCAGGGAGGGCGTTTTCCTCGAAGAAGCTCTTTGTCACCGGTAATGGGTGCAGGCTGCTCTGCCCTGGTTCTGAGTCCTGCCCCCTTCCCTTAGGGCTTTGGGCCTTGATCACCTCTGCTGAGCCTCTGACCGCGGGGCTGGGGCTCTGACGCTCAGGGCCCACCTCCCTGGGACCCACAGTCTTTTTCCACTGTGGCGTGTAGTGATGTCACAGGTGGCAGTGATGTCACTGTGGTTTGAGGTACTTGGCTGTGAGCCCTGGAGGAGGAAGTGTCTGTTTGCTGATGGGGGGTTGGAAGAGATAATTTACTTCTGCTCCAAGCCTGAGCCCCAAGTGTACAGGGGGAGTGCAGGGGGAGGGCTGTTGGCGGTGCATCTCAGGGCTCCGGCTCTGCCCTTGCATCTAGCCTCTTTCCTGTGGACTGTGACAAGCCACCCTGCATCTGAGACTCCATTTCTTCTTCTTTTTTTGAGATGGAGTCTCGCTCTGTCGCCCAGGCTGGAGTGCAGTGGTGCGAGTAGCTGGGACTACAGGCACCCACCACCATGCCTGGCTAATTTTTTTGTATTTTTAGTAGAGACAGGGTTTCACCGTGTTAGCCAGGATGGTCTTGATCTCCTGACCTCGTGATCCGCCTGTCTCGGCCTCTCAGAGTGCTGGGATTACAGGCGTGAGCCACCGCGCCCGACCTTTTTTTTTTTTTAGATGGAGTCTGGCTCTGTTGCCCAGGCTGGAGTGCAATGGCATGATCTCGGCTCGCTGCAGCCTTTGCCTCTCAGGTTCAAGCTATTCTCCAGCCTCAACCTCCCGAGTAACTGGGATTATAGGCGTGCGTCACCACACCCGGTTAGTTTTTGTATTTTCAGTAGAGATGGGGTTTCACCATGTTGGCCAGGCTGGTCACGAACTCCTGACCTCAAGTGATCTGCCCGCCTTGGCCTCCCAAAGTGCTGGAATTACAGGCATGAGCCACTGCGCCCAGCCTCTATTTCTTCTTTGCAGGGGGAGGAGGGGTTGGAATTACCACCCTGGAGGTTCATGGTTGCTAGATTATTGATTCTGTTGCTGGATTCAGGAGACCTGTTAGCTAGTTCACAGCAAGCGTTGGGTGTTTGGAGAGGGCTGCAGAGCCCCCTCTCAGGACCCAGGAGGGCCAGCTGCCCTCCCTCTCCCCTCTTTGGACACTAGTGGGCATGTTCTGTTGGGAAAACAGATAGTGTAACCTGACTTCGAGGGCCGCAGGGTGAATCTCTTTCAGGCGTACTGGCTCCTTGAGAGGCCTAGCGGATCTCTCCTCCGTGGGTCCCTTTTGGAGCTGGGGCTCGGGTTTGACCCAGCCACTCTGACTGAAGACAGTACAGAAATCCCCAGGGGGTTGGTTTGTTTTCCTTTGCTGTCCAGACAGTGGCCCACTGTCTGCTTCAGGCTGAGCGTGGCCCTGCACTAGTGAGACTGATGTGGCCACAGGTTCAGAGAATCAGTGTGCCTGAGTGGGAGAGCAGAGCGGGAGGGGATTTGGAGGCAGGCAGGCTGTGGACAGGGAGGAGGGAGGACATCTTCTGAGCTGTCAGCGGGAGGGCTTCTTAAGGTCTTTCAGGAGCAAGGCCAGAGGCCATGGGAATGGGTGGGGCCTGGGGCCGGGAGTCAGGGGTCTGAGGCCTCATCTTGGCCCAGCCTCTGCTTCCGGGAGAACTTGGCCAGTTCCCTTCTCCTTTCTGAACCTCGGCGGCCTCAACTGTCACTTGAGATTAGCAAGGACCTCCCTGGCCCCAGCTGGAGTAAGTGGCTTTGGGTAGGGGGTGGAGTGCAGATTGCACCAGCACGTCACCCAGCTCAGAAGGCCCAGGTGTGGTCCACCTGTGGCCCAGCTGTGGACTTGATTGTGAACCCCTGGGGAAGGGCTCTGGCCCTTTGCCTTAGTTAGCAGGACACCCACCAGTGCCCTGGGTGCCCCTGCTGGCCCCTCCTCCCGCTGACCCCAGCCCCAGTTTCTGGCTGCAGCTCACAGAGGCCCCAGGCTTCTGTGGCCCCATCGCCAGCAGCTCCTGCTGTCATTTCCTGAGCCTTGCAAGCCTCTAATCCTGCTCCTTCCTGTCCTGCCCCCTAGCTCCCTCAAGCCCCGCTCCTGCATCCCATTCTCCTTAGACATCACCCCTCCACCCCTTGGCTCAGCGTCCTTCCTGTTGTGACTTGGTTCTTTGGTCATTGCCCTGGTCTTTTCTTGTCCCCTTCCTGATTCTGCCCTTCTCCAGGCCCACACAGGGGGCCTTCTAACCGCTGAGCCCTGAAAGGTAGGCGGGTTTAGGATGAGTGGCTACAGGGAAAAGAATGGTGTGGGGAGGGAGGTATGGAGGAAAGAATATTAGGGGACAGACTGGGCGAGGTGGCTCACGCTTGTAATCCCAGCACTTTGGGAGGCCACTTGAGGTCAGGAGTTCGAGACCACCCTGGCCAACATGGTGAAACCCTGTCTCTACTTAAAAAAAAAAAAAAAAAAAAAAAAAAATTAGCCAGGCATGGTGGTGTGTACCTGTAGTCCCAGCTACTTGGGAGGCTGAGGTATAAGAATCACTTGAACCCCAGAGGCGGAGGTTGCAGTGAGCCGAGATTGCACCACTGCACTCGTCTGGGTGACAGAACGAGACCCTGTCTCAAACAAAACAAAACAAAAACCGAATATTAGAGGACAATGTTAGACTGTCCCAGCTGTCCTAGCTGGAGCCAAAGGTTTGTTGGGGACAGTGACAGCAGCACATGAAGCTGTAAGTTTAGGGCCAGTTTATGGAGGTAGTAATAGCAATTACATTGAGAAAACTGTAGCAACTATAATTTGGGAGGAATTTTCTTTTTTTTTTTTTTTTTGAGACGGAGTCTCGCTCTGTCGCCCAGGCTGGAGTGCAAGTGGCCGGATCTCAGCTCACTACAAGCTCCGCCTCCCAGGTTTACGCCATTCTCCTGCCTCAGCCTCCCGAGTAGCTGGGACTACAGGCGCCCGCCACCTCGCCCGGCTGGTTTTTTGTACTTTTTAGTAGAGACGGGGTTTCACCGGGTTAGCCAGGATGGTCTCGATCTCCTGACCTCGTGATCCGCCCGTCTCCGCCTCCCAAAGTGCTGGGATTACAGGCTTGAGCCACCGCGCCCGGCCTTGGGAGGAATTTTCTAAACACTTTTACATGTGTTATTGAATCTTCCCATCAGCCCCAGGAGGTATGTGCATTTATCAGTCCCATTCTACAGATGAAAAGACTGAGGTCTACGAACTCCTTTATTTGAAAACAAATCAAAACACCTTCAAGGCTGCCTGCTAAGAGGGGAAGGAGTATGGATTCAAGCCAGCATCCTTATTCCAGTGTCCATGCTCTCAGCCACCACACACACTCCTCCTATCAGGAGTTGAGGCACTGGGGAGCCATTATAGTTTTTGAGCAAGAGAGTGACAGGGCAGAGATCACTGTGGCCTCAGTGTGAAGCACAGATGAGATGGAGAGACTGGAGGCAGGGAGGCCCATGAGGAGGCCGTCACCATGGTTTAGGTGACAGCTCTGGGTTGGTGAAGAAGCAGAGAACAGGAAGGAAGGGGTGATAGACTTCAGGGAGGAGGAGGAAGCCTTTAGACTGGGCCACGGATGTAGGGTGGGGACATAGGAGGTGAGAAGCATGCTCTCTCCACCCGCTTTTTGCAACATGAGGCCCCTCTGGCCTTAGCTCTGCCTGGCCTGAGCCTGAGCCCAATGGACCAATTCTGGTTTTTTTTTTTTGGTTTTTTTTTTTTAAAGTTGGAGTCTTGCTCTTGTTGCCTAGGTTGGAGTGCAGTGGCGTGATCTCGGCTTCGGCTCACTGCAGCCTCTGCCTCCTGAGTTCAAGTGATTCTCCCACCTCAGCCTCCCAAGTAGCTGGGACTACAGGCGTGCGCCACCACACCTGGCTAATTTTTTGTATTTTTTTTTTAGTAGAGATGGTGTTTTGCCATGTTGGCCCTGCTGGTCTTGAACTCCTGACCTCAAGTGATCCACCCGCCTCGGACTCCCAAAGTGCTGGGATTATAGGCGTGAGCCACTGTGCCTGGCCCCAGTGGACTGATTCTGGTCAGTGTCAGCCCCATTTGTCCCTGGAGCTTTTGCAGTCAGTCACAGGGCCAGCCCGGTCCTAGCCACTGCTGGCTGGTTACCCCGGCTGGGTTGGGCAGGAGACTGGGCAGGGCTGGTTGCTCATCTCAGGTGTGAAATGGGCTGCACCTCCACTGGTCTGGGGGTCAGGATTCCAGGGCCTGCCTGGTGCTGCTGCCCCTGTGCCCCCAGACCCCTCGAGCTCCTCCCTGACCTTTGGCTTCCTTGACTGTGAGGTGGAAACAAAAGGGCTGCTCTCTGTCACTTCCCTTAGGGGCGGGCAGTTGCTGGCAGGGCACAGAGCCCAGGGCTAAGAGCTGACATTTAGCTTGGCGCGGTGGCTCAGGCCTGTAATCCCAGCACTTTGGGAGGCTGAGGCAGGCGGATCACAAGGTTAGGAGTTTGAGACCAGCCTGGCCAACATGGTGAAACCCTGTCTCTACTAAAGATACAAAAATTAGCCGGGTGTGGTGGCGTGTCGCTGTAATCCCAGCTACTCAGGAGGCTGAGGCAGGAGAATCGCTTGAACCTGGGAGGCGGAGGTTGCAGTGAACCGAGATCGCACCATTGCACTCCAGCCTGGGTGACAGGGTGAGACTCTGTCTCAAAAGAAAAAAAAAAAAAAAAAAAAGAGCTGACATTTAGCGGGTGCATCTTAGGTGCGAGGCAAGAGACCGATGCATTAAATGCACAGAGTGCCCTTCCCTGTCACAGCCACCTGGGGGCAGGGGAACATTATCCCCATTTTACAGAAGACGCCTTTGAGGCACAAAGGTTAAACGACGTACTTAAGGTTTTGCAGCTCACTAGAGGCAGAGCCAAGACTCCACCCCAGGTGGCCAGGCCCCTGAGCGCTGTGCCTACATCACCCTCCAGTGAGGTGGTGGTGGAGGAGACCATGAGTCGCTGTCATCTGAACATGGGCGCGCTCAGTCTGCTGCTCTGAGGACGCCGCCCCCTCTCTTTGTACGTCCATTTCCTGCCCGGTTCTCATGCTAGCTCCAGCTCATTTCAACTAATTGAAAATTAAAACTTTGCTTGTGTTGAGCAATTTGGCATCTATGAGATGCCAGCTGTGGGCTGTGTGCTGGCTGTGTGTAGGGCGATGAGTAGCAGACACACGGGTGACACTGAGCTCTTTCCACTGCCAGGCACAGTGCCGAGCACGCCACGCATACTGACTTCATGAATCATAAAGCCCTGTGAAGGGGGCACTGTTTCTGTCGCCATTTTATAGATGACAAAGTGGAGGTGGGGGAATGGCAGAACTGGATCAAAGCCCACGTGTCTGGCTCAGCGCCCATACAAGGTTGTCAAGGTTGGGGGGAGGCACGAGGGAACCAATAATTAGCCAAAAA